ATATATATATACATACATCTATCTATCTATAAATAAATATTATATAAAAGTACCTGCATTTGACTTTACATACTTTTCTTGTAATTCCCTGTACTACAGACTCAGACTTGCAGAAATGACCTAGCTTTATTGCTACAGAAAAGAAAGGTTAGGTCTGCAGGCTAGCTGTGCAAATAGTAGGACGGAAATGCAAAACCTTTGGCAGGTAAAATAGCTACTATATATGTATGCCCCCTGTGTATTTACCCGTTTGGCTGGAGTTTGGCTTTAAAATAAATATCTCCCAGAAAGGTGAGGAGCCTTTGCTGTCTCTTAAAGTGACACTAAACTCAGAAGTTAAATCTTAAAAATACATTCAAGTACCTTAACTATTAACAAAAATGTATCTTATTTGTGTATCACTTGGCTGTAGATCCTCAAATCATCTCTGAATTGGTGCTGACACTGTCCTTCCTTGTGGAGGGTGGTTACTATTGTTCCCCATGGTCCCTGTGTGTGTTGAAAAGTAGCTTTAAAGTGACATTAAACCCTCAGATTTTTTAACATAAAACAATAGTGTAATGTGTGCCTTACTGTAATCCATGGTCGTTTCCCTTCTCTTTGCTGCTCTTCCTTTTAAATCTGTATCTGTTCTCATGCTGGGCAGAACTTCTGTTTTGCAGCAGACTGCCTTGTCTCAGGAATGGATACATGGTGTCTGTGTGTAGGTTTGTAACCTGAGCCAGCACTACAGGAAGAGGCACTCAGCTGCAAAGGGAAGTTCTCCCCAAGCATGAGAAGACATGAGGATTTAAAAAGGAAGGGCAGCAAAGAGAAGGGAAACAACCATGGATTACAGTAAGGCGCACATTACAGTATTGTTTTATGTTAAAAAATCTGAGGGTTTAATGTCACTTTAAGCTCACTTGTCTCACTTTAAATTAATGGGTGCTAGAAAGCTGGCAGACTCCACTCTGTCCACACAAACATTTCCAAAAGAAAGACTGACACTCCAATTCTGATAAATCTCTTGTATTCTTTAGAATTGGAGTGTGGAATTCATCTTTTGGACACACACACACACAGCATTTTGCATAAAAGGTAGGTTATGTTACTGATGTTTTGGGGTGGGTCGAAGCCCGCCTTGATGATATATACACACATACATATACAAACCTTACATAAGAAAGGATTCCTAGACAATTAGGGGTTATTGAAAGTGATCACAACACAAGCGGTCTGCCTTTAGCCCTCGTTCACACCTGAACGTTTTGTAGCGCGTTCTACGCTCGACGAACGCTCTACAAAACGCTCAAAAATAGAAATCCCATTGTAGTCAATGGTCTCGTTCCCACCTTGGCGTATTTCCGCCCGTCCCTAACGCGCTACAAAACGGCCCATGCCTGAAAAGGTACAGGTACTACTTTGGGCCGTTTTGTTGCGCGTTTCCATTGGGATACAGCCAAGTAGCCTTCGGGGTCGCGCGACTTTTACCGCAATTAAAACCGCGCGATAGACGCGCATATGTAATACGCCTAGGTGTGAACGAGACCTTAGTGTTGCTCTAAGGTATCCTAGGCTGCCTAAAAAGTAAAGAGTCACTGCTCTGCCTGATTGTCCTGTGTGTACATTTCACTTTAAGCTATTGTGCTCTGTAGACAACAGGCTTTTTATAACAAAACTAGGAAGATGCAGGAGAGTGTGAAAAGGTGTCTAGCACTTCACCTGCTAAGAGTACATAATATTCACATGCAATAGTTCATATTCACGTGGGGAAAAAAAAGTATTTTTCTGTTTGTGTTGCCCATAATAAACAAAAGAAAATATGTACAAAACGCCAATACATTCCCTCTAACTGTAAACAAGAAACAAAAGTCAAACACCGGCAAGACTTGCCCCTGATGTATTTTGAATCCTCTGTTATGAATCAAGAAGTGCAATAAGTGGGAGGGAGTGGACAGGCTTTTCAGATTTGCACTTTTTGGGCCATTCTAAAAAAGTATGGTAAGGTACATAACAGTCCCTGCCTTTAAGTCCTGCTGGCAGTTTACTACCTTTTGTGAGCACGGGTTTATTATTATTATTATACATGATTTCCATCACGCCAACAGTTTGCGCAGCGCTTTTCTTATTCCTATGGGACCTCAGTGAAAGGTACTTAATCATAAAGATGATGGACAACACACACCTAAACTTCACAGCTGCCTGAAATGTATACAGATTACTGCCCAAGGGCGACTTGAAAAGGATTTGTTTTAACAAGATTCAGTAGCGGATATTATCCTAATCTTCCTATGCAAAAGTGATTACAATAATCTCTTGATATTACACGGATTCTCTATTAACAGCTGTAAAGGACAAATAAAATGAAATAAAATTCAATGTACTTTTTTGTTAAAAAAATACCTAGTAAAAACATTTTAACCTGATACTTACTAGACCATGCAGGTGCCAGATTGTGGAAAAAAAAACTTTCTTCTGGAGGTTGGCTACTGTTGTTTCCCATACTCCCTGTGTGTGTTGTAATGCAGTCCCCACTCCAAGCTCACTCCCATGATGGACTACAATCTCATCTTTATTTTACTCATTTGCATTTAAAAAAAAAAAGAATATAAAAACAACAAAAAACAGTATACATAGAATATATAAAGACTGACCCTGAAACAAGGAGGTTGAAGAGGCCATCAAACAAAGGTGATTGCTAAAATGTGTATACTAGAGCACAAAGATCCAGGACTCCCAGGAGCCTCAATAAGAAAATTTAAGTAACTTGCAGAAGCGTGGAAGTGTCTGCTATGACATAATGCCAGTGTGCTGAAACATTTAGGAACACCTCAAGTTTGCTATGAATAGTAGATCTCTAAATAGCCAAAGAACATCAAAATCCTGTTTTTAAAAAGGACTCCTCCCTTCCCAAAGAAGTATGGAAATGGATGACAATATTTCTTCCTCTTCTTCTAAACCTTAAAGTGTATTTCTACTTTTGAAGTCAAATTTGAGAGAACCCCAATAACAATTTATTTATCTGTCCTCAATCACACAGCATACCTAAAATTATTTAAAAAAAATAAAAAAACAACAACTTGTTACCTTCCTAGTGTCTTCTATGAAGTAGGCCTTTCCACACACTGCAAGCTTCTCTGTTTGAAAGTGATAGTGGAGGGGGTCACAGTGGAGACCGGCTCAGTTTTCTCTCATTAACATATAATTACAAATCACAAGCCTTGCGATTAAGTAACCCTTTGTTAAGAATTCTAGTTTACAACTGATAATCTAGATTTGCCAGCACAGCACAGCCAGGTTTAATTGTGGTAAACATGAGGCCTTGGATAGCTATGACTAAGGCCATGTGTGGCTGAAACGAGTAAGAAGGTTTACGATGTGAATTGCTTATCTGATATATTTAATAAAGAATTGGAGCGTAAAGCTCTGTGGTGGAATCTGTGTTACATATGCTGTGGATTGTGGTCAATGGAGCCTTTTCTGAGCACCAGCATTCCCTTTTCATCCACCATTTTGGGCTCAGGTTGAGTGGGTTTTCAGTTTGTTTACCATAGCAGGGACTTATCCCAGAGAGATACAAGAAGCCAGTAGTGACCACTGCAATTAGGTTTGGGGTGCACTAGCCCTAATCTGTACTAATTCTAGAGAAGGGCAACTAAGACAGTCTTTAGAATTGGTAAAACAGAATAGCACTGAGACCTATTGCTCCCTAGATTGTATTGTAAATAGCCATCAAAGGCAATGGCAGTACAGGGTACAGGTCAGGAACTCCCTTCTAATGCTTTGTCTGCATGGGACGAGCATATTACTTTGCCAACTATGGCGTGCCTGTTGCAGAGAACAACTTTAGCAACGCTGATTCCAAAACAGTATAAAATGTGGATCAGTGCACTCCAGTAGAGTGTCTACTAACCTTTTTTACCTAAGACTTTTAATTCACTTACATCCGAAAAGCTACTCTATGCCCCTCTGAATGCATGGAACATGTGAAAGCACAACTTTTCAGTCACATTCTTCATACAACTGCGACTGTCCACAATAGTCAGAAGCCTCATTTACAAGGGAATAAACAAAGAATATTAGGGAAATCAGTCACTCACGTAGTCATGAAAAGCTTTTGCTTCACTTGAATGTTCACAGGTTTCCCGTCTCTCTGGAGCAGCACAATACAGATCCCAAAATACACTGTAAATGAGAAACGATGACAGCAGGAATTAAACATGTCTGTAAAGGAATGCGCAAGATGCCAACAATATGCTGTGCCAATGCAACAGATCGAGGAAGATCACTTTCATGAGAAAGGAGTACCAGTTGAACTACCAATGCAAAATATACATATTCTAAAATAAAAGTAAGGTACAGCATAAAAATAAAAAGGTCACTGTGATCAATAAAGTTGTAAGGAGAAAATACACATAGGCTGCCATTGTTCTGAAAATGATAGTTGTCTGGCTATCTTTGGCTTTGATTAGGGATGCACCAATACCAGTTTCGGTTCGGTGCAGACATTGGGCATTTTCACGAGTAATCGTGAAAATGCCCCGATACCAAAAACCGATACCAGCAATTTAAATTGAAACAGCTGCCTTAGGTCTGAGGACCTTGCGGCAGCCTTCTTCGGCTTTTGCTGGCCCGCATATCTCCCCCTCCTGAGACCCTCCTAAGACCCTCTGCCCGAGGCTGGCACCCTGCAGCAGAGTGGCAGCAAAGAGTATGTACCAAATTCATACACTAATAGTCTACATTGCTTTATAATGTATTGCTGAGATTTGTAGACCTCTATAGCTGGTGGTATTCTGCATTGCTGTATAATGTATTGTTAGGATGTGTAGTTCCTCTACAGGAGGAGTCAGTGGCAGAACTACCTAGGTCACAGCTGTGATCAGGCTCTGGCGTTCCACCACTGTCCTAAAATCATTAGTCTGTATTGTTTTAGAAAAACTGTCACATACAACACACACAAAAAAAAAAAAGGTATCAGTAATCAGTATTGGCGAGTACTTCAGGAAAAGTATCAGTACTTGTACTTGGTCTGGAAAAAACGGTATCGGTGCATCCCCCGCTGTGATACTTCTGAATTACAAACCTGGGACAAGCAGGAAGAACACGAATGCCAGAAAATTGTCCTAATTTTGTTTTCAATGCGTGAATCAGAAATCTCGGAGGGGGCAAAGCATCAGAAGTAAGGAATGGAAAGTTACATATTTCTCTATACTAGATTCTATACTATACTAGAATAGTACAAATGTCTGAGTGTACACCAGGCTATTATAATTGGTGATTGCTGGCTGGATGAATGAACCAATGTCATGCTCTGTCCTTTGGGGACCCTGGCACTGAGAAGAGACCATTTTCACTGTCATCCCCTACCTTCTGATTCGTCTGGTTACTGCTATAGATTATTCCTTGTTGCATGGTTGGCAAATAAATGCCAGTCCATCAAAGATAATTTTATATACAATACAAGGCTCATTTAATGAAAGAAGCTTTTCCAACTTACCACCACCAAGAATGGAGAAATCCTGGGGGTTCGCCCAATGTGATGTTTTTTTCCCATCTTATCTGAAAAAAATAAATCAAATAACAATAAACAGTATATCAACAATAAAATATATGAGAGCACAAAATACATATGTGATTATGTAACACAAAACAACTAATAAGAACATGGGGGTAGGGTATTACTTAAAGCAGATCAAGTGATTTCTAGCTGCTACTGCACACTATTGCTCTCTGTACATCATTACCTGCACACCACTGATCAATAAGCCAAACTAGCAAATAGAGTGTTAGCTCCTGGTGATCTTGGACAGGGCACTAGTCTTATAGGTTTCAGAAAAGCCTCTGACTAGTAAAAGGACCAGTCCCAAAAGGAAACTTCTTAAGAGTACATAGGAGTAGGGATCGACGGATTATTGGCTATACTGATAATCAGGGATGATATTCACGTTTTTCTTTTTAATTATAAGTATATGTAAAATGTACCGATATTACCAAAATCGAACACTGTGTGAACATAGACAAAAGTGTGCAGTGTGGGGGTGGCCCCACTACAAGGATTAAGAATATGAATTTAAAAAAAACACACACACACACACACACACACACACACACACACTCTTATATTCTCAGTTGCCCAACCTGCAGCCCTTTGGCAGTTTTTGTGTGGCCCTCTGGACCCCTGAAGACAGTAGTCTTTGTTCCCTATTGCCCTGTAATAGTAATTATCCCTAGCAGGCTCATGTAATGTGTCCCCAGATTAGGGCCGTCTTCTGAAGCATGTCACCAGTCACCAACAACCCCTATAGCACGTTTGCAGTCTCTTAACCATCTCCTGCAGCATATCTACACTCTCTGACCAGTGTAGATATATGATTTTTTGCTTGGTGAACTGCTTAAAAGCTATCAAACTGAATTGTAGGTTTAATTGGGGAATATCAAGGTGTCAATGGGAATCGGTCACCAAAAGAAGCTATTGGAGACACAAAAAGCACAATGATTAGACTAAGCATTATATTATTAAAGAGTGTTTCACTGCCGCCATTAAGGGGACAGCAGAATACATTTAACTTAATGGTGCAGGGTGAATGACAGTTATGGCACCGCATTTGACATTCTTTGAGTTCCATCTCTCTGGATGCAGCAGGTCCCATTGAGATGCATATGCATTGCAGACCAATCACAGTCTTCTGCTTTGCATTTGAGCAGTACTGCATTCAAATGCACAAGCCAGCAATTGATAGGGAGGCCTATATACACAACCCCCTTAACGTGTCATAGACGGGAACAAAAAATCTACAGCTAATTACTCAGAAATGTTTGTATGAATTTAAAGGATTTCTATAGGTATAACCCAAACTTGTTTCCAAACCTCTCTCTTCCCATCTCCCTCTAGAGCGTGCCACAGCATTATTATATATTTTGTACTTACTCTTGTAGCAAGAAACAGCTTTTATTACTGCCTGTGATATCTCCAGGCTCAGAAAATTCCTGCGGGGGCAGCTGCTGGGAGGAGGAATCAGCAGGGTGCCCTAGGCCAGTTCCTACTGACGTAGGCAGCCCCCCAGAACTACATTTCCCAAAAGTGTGTGGAATGGCTTTTGGAAGTCAAAGCAGCAGAAGTGGTTTGCTTGGAGAGAAATGAATGCATGCACATGGCAAGCGACCAATGGGATAGTGAAGCTTCCTAGTTAAGCAGAGTACTCCCATAGGGATAAAAACATTATTTGGGATTTCTGTGCAACAGAGGCAGCATTGCCAGCCAAGAGCAGAAAGATAGGGCCTCACTGGATTTCTGGCAGTATCATCAGATATTCTGTACTTGCAGCATTTTTAAAGTGACATTAAAGTCTAAAAAAATGTTTCCCTCCCCCCAATGTTAGTGTCAGCACTTCCCTTAAATGATGTCTCTTAATCCGATCTTCCTCTTCTTTCCTGTCCTTTTCAGCCTTCTCTCCGAGGTCTCTGATCCAGCGCTGACTCCTCTGTGTTTGCTGGAACTTCCTGTCCCACGGTGTCTGCATGCGGGTGCACACGTCCAAAGACTTACCTTGCGTCTCTCCTCGTCTCCCGGCCAAAAATGTGAACTGCGCTTGCGCCCATGACCAAAGATCCTTTGCGGCCACCCGAGATTTTTCAGATTTTCGGACAGGAGCGCGCGGCGAAGACACGGGTAAGTTTAATCCTGTTTGAAAGGGTTTTTGCATATATCTACAGCTTGTTAGCAGTAGATATATGCAACACCTGAGGGTTTAATAACCCTTTAAGTAATAAAACATGGAGCACGGTGCATGTATTGCAGACGTTTTTTTCTATTTAAAAACAGGAATGTCTGCAGCGTCTCAGTCAGCTCCAAAATGGCTTGCACTTGCTTGATATATGACAGGTTCACTTTAAACGCAGCAGCAAAGAATTTATAAGAATATTCAACCAGCAAACTGCAGTGTCAATGCAGAGCACTTACACTGGTATATAACAATGCATCACAATGAATAACTATAGCAATTCCCCCTAAATCATACAGATGGTAGAATTAAGGGAAATGTACACAATAAATCCACAGCACACGTAAAATAAAGCTGTAGGACCCCCATAATACTGACTTACAACACAAAACATCCATATCCAATGTTTTAGAACGTTAGGAAACGTGTCTTTATTGAGCCCATTTACAAACCCAAAACACTAAAAACGGAGCTACATTCTCAACTCGAAAATGAAGTCGAAATAGAAGCTGTACATTGCCCGTCACTGTGACTCACTACCATACAATGCAAATACTTCTGCACTAGGAAGTACGGATAGACTTGGTTCAACGGCAGTGGCACACAGATTAACAAATGAGAGAACATGTATACAGCTTGTGGATATTAAAATGAAGAGTCTGCTGGGGAAAAAAAAAAAAAAAGCACTTTGGTTTGTCTAAACAGCGTATAACTAGGTCAAGTCACTTGTGGCTTGACATATTAGGACGAAAGGTTGCTTGAATAACTGTTATTTTGACTTGATATAAATTAAACACAGAAGGCATCTGGGAACTCCTGGAGAAAAAGGATTTGATGGAGCTGGAACAAATCGCAACCATATTTTTAAAAAACAGAACAGAAAATATGACTCGATACCCGATTACCAGATTTGAGGCATGTTGCTATGTTTAATTTTACGCTAGTCGTCACTAATCAGCAACCTAATGGTGATTGTAGCAATTAGGGATGCACCGATACTATTTTTTCGGTATCGAGTACGAGGACCAATATTTTTTTTCCGGTACTCGCCGATTCCGAATACTGATATCGGAAACCCCATTAAGGAAGCCGGGTGGCGTGTAATGACTCCCCGCCCAGCTTCCCGATTAGACGGGAAGCGTGTAATGACTCGCCGCCCGAATTCTGCATTGCCCGGGGAGCGGGTAATGACTCGCTGCCCGGCTTCCTGATTGGCCAGCTTCCTGACCAATCAGGAAGCCGGGCGGCAAGTCATTACACGCCATCCGGCTTCCTGATTTGCCGGGAAGCTGGTGCCATGCTCCCTCGTCACCAGGTGACGAGGAGGCATGGAGCTAACTTTCTGGCCAATCAGGAAGCCGGGGGACGGTTAATGACGGTTAATGACCAATGAGGAAGCAGGCCAGCTTCCTCATTGGCCAGGATTCTGACTAATCAGGAAGCTGGGCGACAATTCATTACAAGCCACCGGGCTTCCTGATTGGCCAGGAAGCCGGCTTCATGCTCCCTCATCACCAAGTGACGAGGGAGCATGGAGCTGGCTTCCCGACCAATAAGGAAGCCAGGAGGCGAGTCATTACCTGCCCCCCTGGCTTCCTGATTGGCCGGGAAGCCGGCTACATGGTTCCTGGTGACGAGGAAAGGCGGATGGCGTGTATATCACTGTATATGTTGTATATAACTCCTCTCGTGACAGCAGCAGTGAAAAAAAAGGGGGGATCACCCAATGTGCTTCCAATCAAAAATTGTATATATATATATATATACACACACACACACATGTATCTAGTGCAGTGTACACATGAGTACGAGTACTAGTGCAAATGAAACAACACAGTTGAGAATACTTTTATTATTTACACTAACAGTTTAAAGAGAAATACAGCCAAACCTTTTTTTGTTGGCTATTATTCACTTTGGAATCACAGGAGTAAATAGGCCGGTCAGTCTAACATCGGCAGTTTGTAAAATGCTAGAGGGCATAATAAAGGATTATCTTAATGTACTTCAAAGACCCAGATTGACGGATACCTGCTGATGGGGCAGAGCCACGAGACATTTGGGATGGATCTTGACAATATTGTCAGGATCCACCCAGGTGCCTGATTGACAGCTTGATCCACCTTTCCGTCTCTGTTTTCAGACACTGATCAGCAGTAATGTAATCTAATGTCATCTTTCGGTATAAGAAACCGAGTGGGACAGCTTTAGTGTCACTGGGATGTTGCAGCAAGGAGGCGAGTTTTTATATTTCTTTTAGAGGAGAACTATGGGGTAACCATTTTTTCTCCTTAGGGTCACGGGAGGACATATACTAGCATCCTCCCGTGACCCAAAAGCTCAGTATATAGCGGGCTGTTGCCCGCTATATGCTGAGAGCGCACCAGCTGGGAAAGATCCCGACAATACTGTCAAGATCCACCCCGCTGGCTGATTGACAGCTGGCTTTGCCTATCTAGAGGCAGAGCCAGCTGTGCCCGCCCACTCCCCCATCAATTCCTCCAGTCAGCGCTGGAGGATCGGAGAAGGGAAGAGGGGGATTCCCTGCAGGGAGCCGTGACTGACAGTGACTGCTATCTGCAGGGAGGTGATTGGGAAGTGAGTAAGTGATGGTTTGTTTTCGTTCACTTCCCGATCTATACAGCCAACGTGTGACAGTTTCAGTGTCACACAACAGCTCTAACTATAAGGATGACTGTAATTCACTCACCTCCATAGTTCTCCTTCAATAACCCTATTATTAAGAATCCTTTGTCAGGTTGGACCGAGATAAAGGGGATAGACCCTTAAAAGTTTGCTCTGAAAAATGAACAGTTAGTGCAAGATAATAAAGTATCA